TTCCTAGTGTGGGTGGGATGGCTTCCTAGTGTGGGTGGGATGGCTTCCTAGTGTGGGTGGGATGGCTTCCTAGTGTGGGTGGGATGGCTTCCTAGTGTGGGTGGGATGGCTTCCTAGTGTGGGTGGGAAGGCTTCCTAGTGTGGGTGGGAAGGCTTCCTAGTGTGGGTGGGATGGCTTCCTAGTGTGGGTGGGGCAGGGGCTGGTGGGCGGGCTTCCTAGTGTGGGTGGGGCAGGGGCTGGTGGGCGGGCTTCCTAGTGTGGGTGGGGCAGGGGCTGGTGGGCGGGCTTCCTAGTGTGGGTGGGGCAGGGGCTGGTGGGCGGGCTTCCTAGTGTGGGTGGGCAGGGCTGGTGGGCGGGCTTCCTAGTGTGGGTGGGGCGGGCTTCCTAGTATGGGTGGGGCGGGCTTCCTAGTGTGGGTGGGGCGGGCTTCCTAGTGTGGGTGGGGGCGGGCTTCCTAGTGTGGGTGGGGCGGGCTTCCTAGTGTGGGTGGGGCGGGCTTCCTAGTGTGGGTGGGGCGGGCTTCCTAGTGTGGGTGGTGGGCGGGCTTCCTAGTGTGGGTGGTGGGCGGGCTTCCTAGTGTGGGTGGGGGGGGGCTTCCTAGTGTGGGTGGGGGGCTTCCTAGTGTGGGTGGGGGGGGCTTCCTAGTGTGGGTGGGGGGGGCTTCCTAGTGTGGGTGGGGGGGGGCTTCCTAGTGTGGGTGGGGGGGGGGCTTCCTAGTGTGGGTGGGGGGGGCTTCCTAGTGTGGGGTGGGGGGGCTTCCTAGTGTGGGTGGGGGGGGGGTGGTGGGCTGGCTTCCTAGTGTGGGTGGGGGGGGGCTGGTGGGCGGGCTTCCTAGTGTGGGTGGGGGGGGGGGGCTGGTGGGCGGGCTTCCTAGTGTGGGGGGGGGGCTGGTGGGGGAAGAGTGAAGATGGAGTGTGTACTCACCTAGTTGTACTTGCGGAGGTTGAGCTTTGGCTCTTTGGTCCCGCCTCTCAACCGTCAATCAACAGGTGTACAGGTTCCTGAGCCTATTGGGCTTTATCATATCTTCACTTGAAACTGTGTATGGAGTCAGCCTCCACCACATCACTTCCTAATGTATTATTCCATTTGGTAACTACTCTTAGTGTGTGTGTGTGTGTGTGTGTGTGTACTCACCTAATTGTACTCACCTAATTGTGCTTGCGGGGGTTGAGCTCTGGCTCTTTGGTCCCGCCTCTCAACCGTCAATCAACTGGTGCACAGATTCCTGAGCCTATTGGGCTCTATCATATCTACATTTGAAACTGTGTATGGAGTCAGCCTCCACCACATCACTTCCTAGTGCATTCCATTTACTAACTACTCTGACACTGAAAAAGTTCTTTCTAACGTCTCTGTGGCTCATTTGGGTACTCAGCTTCCACCTGTGTCCCCTTAGCTTCCACCTGTGTCCCTCACCTGTGTGTGTGTGTGTGTGTGTGTACACACGCGTGCGCTCCTGCGTGCTAAAGTGTTCTTGGAATACACGCTGGGTCGAGTCCTCGCTGTACAGGAAAGCAGTACACAGAGCGTGTACTGGTGACGTCAGTACACAGGAAACAGATGTTGGCAGGCGTGTGTGTACTGGGGGAGCCGCTAAGGGGAGGAAGAGGACACAACAGTTGGTGGGGGGGGGGGGCATGGAAGAGGACGGAAGGGGAGAAGGACAGAGGCCGGATAGAAGAGAGGGAATGTGGGACGGACGGGCAGGAGTATGGGTAACAACGGTCTATGGAAAACAAAGGAAAGTAAACAAAAATATATATATATATATATAATATATATATATATATTATATATATATATATATATATATATATATATATATATATATATATTATATATAAATTTGTGAGGGTACCACCTCTGATGCCAATGTGGAGACCCATAGCCTCGGAGAAGAAAATAAAAGTATTCAGAGGAGAAATAATATATATATATTATATATATATATATATATATATATATATATATATATATATATATATATATATATATATATATAATATATATATATATATGTATATAGTGTAAAGCAGATTAATAAAAGGAAAGGGAGAGAAGGGGAAGTGAGAAAGGATGGAAAGGGGAGAGAAAGTTAGGGGGAAGGATACCCATCCTTTCCCAGACTTCAGTCCTCCTAAGGTTTCCCAAACGTCAAGAAAATGGTCAATGTAAAGTGTCCTCTCCTAACCTACCAGAGGACCTAAAACAGAAAACGGGACAGTACGTCACTTTCGCGAACCGCATTCATTTTCTAGTACAATTTTTTGACCTTGTGTGACGCATACGAGCGAAAAGCGACGTTCTCGGAAGGAGGACAAGTTGGGCGCCCGTCGGGAGTCACTGCGAGTCTTGCGAGACATACCAGCACAGTTCGCCAGAGTCGAGATATCAGTCTACAGAGCCGACTAGGTTCTCAAGATCAATATTTCACTCAACTCTGTGTACAACTAGACGGCAGTTACCACAACACAAGACGTTCAGCCAACAACATCTGAATATATAATACACATCTGAATATATATATACACCCAGACGTTGTCAACACCCGCCACTCTAATGAATACCTCTAGTTCACGCAGGTGTTGGGGGAGGGTGAGGGCGTAGGGTGGTGGGGGGGGGGGGCGTAGGGTGGTGGGGGGGGGCGTGGGGTGGTGGAGGGGTGTGGTTGGGAGGGGGCGTGGGGTGGTAGGGGCGTGGAGTGGCGGGGGATTTGGGGATAGGAGAGGGAGAAGACTAGACAGTGGGAGGGTTGGTCACTCTATATTCTCCATTTCCTCAACGTTTTCCGACACCTCCATCTTCTTTACCCCCCCCCCCCCCCAAACAAAACAAAAATCACAGGGGAGAAGCGGTGGAAACAAGGGATAGAAGAGGTGTGTGCACAGGGATCGGGACAGGCCGGGGGGAGGGTAGGCAGGCTAGCGGTTAACGCTAACAGCAGTTAAAATTGTATTTCTTTATTATGCACCCCATACCCATCTCGTGGGCGGTGGTGGAAAGGTTACAGAGGCACATAATGGGTTCAGGAACCGAGCCCCAGAGTTCGTTTAGCTAAGCCAGTGACAATCTTTTAAGGTCGGAGGACTGCTACATTGGATTGATACGTTATACAAGGCGGTCACATATTACAGTAGTTACCAGAAGTACAATATGTGTATGTTATTACACTGGCACTCATTACGTGTCTTGTACAGCTTGGAGAGAGGTGGGGATGAGGCCTCGGGGAGGGAAGGGACCGTAACTATAGACCTAGAGGGGTGTGATGTATAGCAAGATATAGGAGACAACCTCACAGAGTGAATAATATAAAATATATAATTATAATATCTGGAAACTCCACAATTATGTATGAGGGGAGGATGTATAAAATAGGTTCTGTATCTCAACCCGCCCTCAAGAGTTACAGCCCCGCTCCTGTGCCAGGTAAGTCCACTACGGGCTCGCCATACCCCATGCTACTTGCAACTGTGTGTTCCCAGTAGCTGAATCTAAAACAACAGCATATGTCCGCCACAACCCGCTCTCGCACAAGACAGCACATATATGACTTATTGCTTATAGTCACTATTTCGCTTATATATAAGTAAATATGTGACAAATCCCAAACTATATATTTTTTCAAGGCACTAACTTTTCCTCTCGATTTTATTAAACAATAGAGATTTTATACAAAATTTGACAATATCCTGAGTTACTTTACAATTTAAATAAATATTTTAGTTTTGTTTTATTATTTTTATAAAACTGTAATATCAATATAGGTATAGGTTCAGTACTAATTGTAATATCTTAACATACTACGAAGGTTAGGTTAGGTTGAGGTTTTCTATTTAGCATTTCAAGGTAAACTCAAATATTCACAATAAATTAGTATGTCACATATGCACTTATTCATAAGCAAGATATTGACTATAAGCAAGTGCAAGAACGGGTTGGTCCGCCACGCCGCTCCTGCCTGACCTTCCCCAACACCTATACCGCCACTGTGTTGACACCGCCACTACCATAGTCATTATGCTAATGTCAAATGTTCTGGGCTAAGCTGCACCTCTCCTCGTCCTCACCCTCGCGTCCCTCCACACTAAGTGGCCTCTTGTGGGGCGGCGAGGCTTCCTCTTGACATGGAGAGGTACTCATCTACACATGTATCTCCACTCTTTATGTAACCATTTGTTTGTATTGTACTCATATTATATATATATATATATATATATATATATATATATATATATATATATATATATATATATATATATATATATATATACAATACAATACAATTTTATTTAGGTAAGGTACATACATACAATAAATATTTACAAGGATTGTTTAACTTATAGGTAGAGCTAGTACATACAATGCCTAAAGCCACTATTACGCAAAGCGTTTCGGGCATAAATTATATTATATATAAAGGAGGGAGTACCATCTCTGGCTGGAGGAAGGGGGACCCATAGCCTTGGAGGAAACCACACATAACGCATTTGAGGGAATGTTTAGGTCCCCTCAAGAAATATATACACACACACATTATATATATATATATATATATATATATATATATATATATATATATATATATATGTGTATGTATCAGTGTTCTCTCCCTAGTTTATCTTCATTATATATGTAGTTACAGACCAGAAATACATATGATATACATGATGCAGTTTACTACTGCGTTGTGAACAATCAGTAATTTCAGGTGTTTTGGAATAAATACTTGTTATAAAACCTGTAAATTTTTTGTTTACTTGTGGTTCAGTGTACTTGAACTCATTACAAATGGCAGTGGTAAGGTAATTTTCCTCTATGAAGCCAGAGAGTGGAGTTACTACTCCTGGTCCACTAGGCTATATACCCCACGAGCTTAGTTATAACAACGGCCTTTAGTACTGTGCATAACAGTTCAATCTCACACACACACACACACACACATATTGGAGCCGATGTAGACGTGACCAAATACGAACTGTGTTGACGCCGTTCGAGCACAAATAACACCACGGAGCAAGAGAACAAATAACATCGCGGAACATGAGAACAAACATCACCATCTTCAAATACCACGGCTAATTGCTGCGAACGCGTGGACAAGCCAAGCAAAAAATGAAAAAAAAAAGCGATTACCACACCACATAATGTCAAGCAGCACAAAAAAAGAAGATTGAATCAAACCTCCACATGAATATAATTTACCACATAATCCTTACTACTTTCATCCTGAAATCCCTCAATTTTATTCGCTGGGTTGTGCAGTTATATGCGTGTGCGAACCACGCGGAACGCACGCTCACGTTCACACACGCTGGACCGTACACACGCGGGAACGTGCATTCACACACTCACACACTTGCAGGAGAGTGGGAGCCAGTGCACGCCACCAAGCAAGGCAGTTACTCACTGGATACCGACGCGCACACTAGCGTCTGTGCGCTCGTGTGAGTGTGTGAGCGCGCGGGAAGGAGAGCCAGCAAGTTCTGCGAGACGTGTTCGTCATAAACTTAAACAAAAAAAAAGGCTTTTGCGCTTTAAAAGTTGCAGTTTACGAGTGTTTTAAGTGGGCGAGTGCAGGAGGGGAGGGGGTGGGGGGGGGGTGGCAGCAACTGGCCAGGTGGAGTCATGGGGCCGCGTGCGTTAGGGTGTGACCTCCCTCTGCTATCATTACAGAGGTATTGCGAAACACAAGCCCCCCCCTCCCTCTCTCACTTCCCTGCTGCGGAAGTCCACCTGTGTTTCCTACTGTTGTCTATTGTGGTTCCCTCACAGTACACTGAGGCGTGTGGTGCAGTGTCCTGTGCTTCCCTCGCCTCACAGTACACTGAGGCGTGTGGTGCAGTGTCCTGTGCTTCCCTCGCCTCACAGTACACTGAGGCGTGTGGTGCAGTGTCCTGTGCTTCCCTCGCCACACAGTACACTGAGGCGTGTGGTGCAGTGTCCTGTGCTTCCCTCGCCACACAGTACACTGAGGCGTGTGGTGCAGTGTCCTGTGCTTCCCTCGCCACACAGTACACTGAGGCGTGTGGTGCAGTGTCCTATGCTTCCCTCGCTACCCAGTACACTGAGGCGTGTGGTGCAGTGTCCTGTGCTTCCCTCGCCACACAGTACACTGAGGCGTGTGGTGCAGTGACCTGGGCTTCCCTCGCCACACACATGTTCCCTACAGTGCTGACAAACAAATACGTGTGTGTGTGTGATGTTCCTCTACGCATACCGTGACAACACATTCGCATACCCGTGACCTATATTGTATTGTATTGTATTTACTTATCAACAGACTAAAACGCGTTCATCTATTTTCCTCCCTCACGTGTTTTTATTTTTTATTTTTCTAACTTCTTCACAAGAAAAGTCAAGAGTTGTGTGTTTACATGAGGTACATGACGTGATAAAAGTTGAGTCGATAATAACCCGGCGGTGATAGCAACCTTGGACAATATTATAAAAAGTGCAGTCTCCCCTGACAGATCACAAGGCGAGCGGGAGCCCCGTTAGGCTAGCCACTAGCCTATCTATGCAAGAGATTTCATAATCCTGGTGGTGGCATATATCTCGTTCGTTAAGGAGTCCTGGTAGTGATGTTCAAGAAACAATTAGACACGTTCCTGCAAGAGTCGTGGACCAGCTGGGCTGTAGTGGATGTGTGCTGTTGGCTGGCTGTTCCAAGCAAGAGTCTTCTGGACCAAGTTATCACAAGACAAGCCTGCCCACAGGCTGAGCTTGGGGAGTAGAAGCACTTCCAAATCTCACTACAGGTATATTTAACTCAATCGTTAAGGAGTCTTGCCGATACGCCTCACATCCAGCACGGAGGCGACGCGTCGTCAGGTGTCGCGGCTTCTCCTAGCATTAATAATGATGACTTAAACTTTGCATTTTTAACTCTGGAACGTAAATCAAGTTTAAAATGAATAATGGTTTAATTGAATAATAATCAAGCAGGTTTCCTTGTGAGGTTGGTAACTAAATATTACAATTTCCTAACGAATAATTGCATGAACAAAAAAATACTCACGAAAACTACGCAGTTACTTATGCAAAATAAACACAAAATAAATTTGAAATCAAAATAGAGCCAATCAAATTAGTCGTGGGGAAATACTTGCATAATACACAATGGTAAACTCTCATCAAGAGCAAGCTACGATTGATCAAAGAGCAGCCACACACTTATCTGGCACACCCCTCCAAGGGTTCCCCTTCCCCCCCCCTCCCCACCCACCACAAAAGGGGTACAATAACAAGATCTGGACACGATACCGCACGTCTTAACCCCAGGCGCCACCCCACCCTGGGGGGCCCCACCCCCCCCTCACCACGTGACCCCCTGTGTAAATAGTTTTCGCTGCAGGTCAGGTCCTTCCTACAATGTAGGTCAGGTCCCTCGTACGGTGCATGTCAGGTCCCTCATACGGTGCATGTCAGGTCCCTCGTACGGTGCATGTCAGGTCCCTCGTACGGTGCATGTCAGGTCCCTCGTACGGTGCATGTCAGGTCCCTCGTACGGTGCAGGTCAGGTCCCTCGTACGGTGTAGGTCAGGTCCCTCGTACGGTGCATGTCAGGTCCCTCGTACGGTGCATGTCAGGTCCCTCGTACGGTGCATGTCAGGTCCCTCGTACGGTGCATGTCAGGTCCCTCGTACGGTGCATGTCAGGTCCCTCGTACGGTGCATGTCAGGTCCCTCGTACGGTGAAGGTCAGGTCCCTCGTACGGTGCAGGTCAGGTCCCTCGTACGGTGCATGTCAGGTCCCTCGTACGGTGCATGTCAGGTCCCTCGTACGGTGCATGTCAGGTCCCTCGTACGGTGCATGTCAGGTCCCTCGTATGGTGCAGGTCAGGTCCCTCGTACGGTGCATGTCAGGTCCCTCGTACGGTGCATGTCAGGTCCCTCGTACGGTGCATGTCAGGTCCCTCGTACGGTGCATGTCAGGTCCCTCGTACGGTGCAGGTCAGGTCCCTCGTACGGTGCAGGTCAGGTCCCTCGTACGGTGCATGTCAGGTCCCTTGTACGGTGCATGTCAGGTCCCTCGTACGGTGCATGTCAGGTCCCTCGTACGGTGCATGTCAGGTCCCTCGTACGGTGTAGGTCAGGTCCGTCGTACGGTGCAGGTCAGGTCCCTCGTACGGTGCATGTCAGGTCCCTCGTACGGTGCATGCCAGGTCCCTCGTACGGTGCAGGTCAGGTCCCTCGTACGGTGCAGGTCAGGTCCTTCCTACAATGTAGGTCAGGTCCCTCGTACGGTGCATGTCAGGTCCCTCGTACGGTGCATGCCAGGTCCCTCGTACGGTGCAGGTCAGGTCCTTCCTACAATGTAGGTCAGGTCCCTCGTACGGTTTATGTCAGGTCCCTCGTACGGTGCATGTCAGGTCCCTCGTACGGTGCATGTCAGGTCCCTCGTACGGTTTATGTCAGGTCCCTCGTACGGTGCATGTCAGGTCCCTCGTACGGTGCAGGTCAGGTCCCTCGTACGGTGCAGGTCAGGTCCCTCGTACGGTGCAGGTCAGGTCCCTCGTACGGTGCAGGTCATGTCCCTCGTACGGTGCAGGTCATGTCCCTCGTACGGTGCATGTCAGGTCCCTCGTACGGTGCATGTCAGGTCCCTCGTACGGTGCAGGTCAGGTCCTTTGTACGCTGCAGGTCAGGTCCTTCGTACGCTGCAGGTCAGGTCCTTCGTACGGTGCAGGTCAGGTCCTTCGTACGGTGCAGGTCAGGTCCTTCGTACGCTGCAGGTCAGGTCCTTCGTACGCTGCAGGTCAGGTCCTTCGTACGCTGCAGGTCAGGTCCTTCGTACGGTGCAGGTCAGGTCCTTCGTACGCTGCAGGTCAGGTCCTTCGTACGCTGCAGGTCAGGTCCTTCGTACGCTGCAGGTCAGGTCCTTCGTACGCTGCAGGTCAGGTCCTTCGTACGGTGTAGGTCAGGTTCTTCATTTTTTTTCTTGGGGGGGGGGTAAAGAGGAAGGAGAGGCATAGGTGAAGGGAAGTATAGAAGTGGGAAATACAGTGAGAGGTATGAAAGCAGGCGGGCTGTCCGCCTTGCTGACACGATGTGTGGGTGTTGGCAGCTAAGCTAAGCTGGCTCCCTCTTGTCAGGGAGCTGTGAGTGTGTGAGAGGTTCTTCACATGTGTTTCAGCATATATGGATGTCTATAGATGAATACTGTGTAGCATTCATATATACACACGCCGATGCTTCCGCACATGTTGTTCTGTTTAAGGCTCTTTATTATTATTTATTGAGTTATTCATACATACATACATTCATAGGTTCTTCGTACAGTGCAGCTTAGGTTGATTAAACAGTGTAGATCCATCTACAGTTACAAGTCAGGGTTATAATGTACGATGCAATGTGTGATAGAATATGTAAATCCATAATTCACTTTATATATACATATATATATATATATATATATATATATATATATATATATATATATATATATATATATATATATATATATATATATATATATATATATATATATATATATATATATATATATATACACACATATATATATATATATATATATATATATATATACACATATATATATATATATATATATATATATATATATATATATATATACAAACTCTTATCTGATAGCCTCAGTATCATCCCTGTACCGCAAGTCTGACGAACAAATGCGTTAATCAATCTCACATTTTATCTAATCTATTAAGGAAGAACACTTCAGGCATAAATGTCAGCATTCATCTTATAATATATTACATTGGTCTAAATATTTATTCTAGCGTTCCAGGAAGTAGATGAGGTTGCAGCCTAGCGCCTCAGATACAATGTTTATATCCGGTTTCCTGTTGATTAAAAACGTCAAGCACTGTAAAGTACACTTATTACATCATCCTTTGTTATGGTTCCACTTGTCACTGGCGGGTTAACGTACTTAGATTTAGAACTGTCTAAACTGACCTCTGAAGGTAACGTGTGTTTGCTAGTCAGGTGATTTTTTTTTTTTTTTTATTATTATTTTTCTACCACAGACGTGGCCACACATTTACAGTGCTAACCAGCATATATACATTTTCTTCTGTCCTCCATGGACAGGGTTAGAGATGTGTTAAACATATAGTTCAAGGGTTTATAAACATATAGTTCAGTGATAATATACTGGCAATATATACGGTAATACGGGAAAGTGGAGCTAGGAACTAGTAATAGAGTAAGTGAATAACATTGCAAGCCGGAAGAAAGCAGAAATTCCCTTAGGATATTACAGGCACATAATCAGTGTATAAATCAAGTAACTGGCAACCAGTGACATCCTGGTTGGCCATCCTGCCCCCGACCTGGGACAAACAACGGTCAACTGGACGGTCCCAAGACGACCATATTTTCTCCACAAGGCGATAAGTACCCCCACATAAACTTGAACAAATAAACATATGTAATATTATAAATATACTGGATACATATTATATATACATACATATAATACTTAAATATATGCATATATTATTATAAC